ACCGTGACTGCTGTCGCTCTGACATAGTGCAGTCGGACATAGTGCAGTCGGACATAGTGCAGTCGGACATAGTGCAGTCTGACATAGCGCAGCCTGATATAGTTCAGAGATAATTTAGGGCAAATAACTGGGTTTGGCCCTAGCTCTGCCACCTGTGCCCTTCCCACAGAGGTGACGATGGTGATCATTTCAATAATGGTAAGACGTGTTTTCAGGCTATCGATTCCTTGAGCCCTCGGAACTGCTGAGGTCAGCTGCTCCCATGCCCCCTGGTGGACAGGCGAGGGAGCTGGGACACAGAGAGGGTCAGGTATTTTCTCCAGAGCCGGCGAGAGAAGGTACCGGAGCGTGAAGCAGGTCTGAGCTTCTAACCCCCGCCCGTACTGCAGCACGTGCGGACCCAGGGCCATCCTGGGTCAAGTGCGGGTCGTGTCCTTGCACAGAATGCATTCTGAAGTCAAAGGAGCGACCCACGCCTCAGGTCCCCCCAAAATTCCCAGACTCGGAGGAAAGTGGAAGCCCCCGTTTGGGGCATGCAGTACCGGAAGCTACCACTAGAGGGTCCCGCAGACATGAGCAGGATGGCCACCTGGCGGCCAGGTGGGGGCTGGACCTTCAAAGAGGACCCTCCTCCTTCCTTCCTCCTTGCAGCACAAGCCTTGGTCCCTGAGTAGGGGCCAGAAGGGGCCAGAAGGGGCCAGAAGGGGCCAGAGACAGATGGGAACCTGGCTCCCTCGGTGGCTCGGGCCCCTCCCCATACCCATTAGATTCACTCACTTCGAACTTGACAGGCACGCGAACCGTGTCCCCAGCTCTGACCATCAGCGAGTTCTTTGCGCTGGAGCCCAGAAGGAACCTGGGACTGACTGGAACACACAACATGGCTTGTCACCCCCCTTTGCAGTCGGGGACCCAGGCCACAAGGTGGCTGGAGGGAGAAGACTGGGCCAGCCTCCCCCCGGAGCTGGGAGGGGGCCCCAGTGGGCAGCACAGGAACGGAGAGGGCTGGGCCTGAACAGACAGGACTCTGAGAAGCCATCTGACACTTCCTTTTGCAAGCGAGGTGACTAGGGATCTGAAACAGGACGGGACAGGAAGGAAGGCCTGGGACCACAGGACGTCCAGGGATTCGGAAGCTGGGCGTGGTGTGCTTTCCACTGTACAGCCTCCCCTATGTCACCGTGTCAATGAGGGGTTGTTGGGACGGCCTGCTGTCAGCTGGGGTTGACGACGGGTCAGCCGCCTCGAGCCCAGGGAGCCAGACGCCCGCCTGTCCGTCACAGGAAGCGGGGCGACCCCCTTCGAGCGGGCCCCTGCCTCCCTGGGCTGGATTGGGGAGCAGAGGCCTGGGGAGGGCCTGCGCTTTGCAGTCAGTCACTCAGTGGAAATCCTGACTGCTGCCACCAGCGGCAGGACCCGGGGAAAAGTCCCTTCGACCTCGGTTTCCTTGTCCCGAAGCTGGGGAAGCAACTGTTAACCTCGTGGGATTTCATGAGCTGGAAGGAGCAGGTGCTCAGGGAGCAGCCCTTGATTAAGCCGCGTGTCTTGGCTCAGCGTGTACGCAGGTGCCACTCAGAGGCCACTCAGGGTGGGGACGGGGCAGGCGGCACTCACCGGCAGCGGGCGCGGCCTGCACTAGTGTGTCCAGGGCAGTGGGCTGGCCGCGGCCCCCGTCGTTAACGGCGGTCACCCGCACGAAGTAGCCCCCGCGGGGCCGAAGCCCCTTGGCCGTGTAGGTGGTTGTGGGCACGGTGCCCAGGTGGCACGGGCTCCACTGGAGGCCGTCTGAGTCACGGAGCTCCACCACGTACCCCTGTGCTTCGTCCCCGTCCTGAGTGTCCGGCGGGGCCCAGCGCAGGGTGATGCTGGTGTGCGACGTGTCTGTCACTTGGAGATCCCTCACGGGGCCGGGGGGGCCTGGCCGGGCACCGTGGGGATGTCAGAAATGGCATTGCCCTGTCCCGGGGGAGGCCACTCGCCGGACAGTCCGCTTTCCTGTGGGAGGCTGGGGTCCTGCCTGACCCTCCCGATCGCCGACTGAGAACCAAACCCCCACAGCATGCGTGCTCTGCCTGCCGGATCGGATCCCTGTCACGCCCCACTCACTCCTGCCCCTGGCCACTCTCCCGGGACTCCTGGGATCAGGTGCTTTCGTGGGTGGCTTCTCGGCCCCCAGATCCCAAAGACTGATCCCTCTCTCCTTACTCTGCGCCCTTGGCCCCTGGTCAAGGCGCCTTCTGCGGAGCCGGACAGCGTTTTCCAGGCGACACACCCAGAGGAGGGTGTCTGAGAGGCGTTCGTGGAAACGCCACTCTATGCTCAGATTTGGAAGTTTGGGGCAAATGAAGCAGGACAGGTGTCTTTCCTGCAGAACTCGGGGGCATCACGGGCCGCACGCCACACACCCCTGATCACAGACGCGTGGCTTTGCTGTCGTTGTCATGGCGTCCGTCGGCACCTCCCCGTGCCCTGCGACCAGGCGCGGGAAGACGCTGCCCTAGGCCTCCAGGACACAGACGGGCTGTGTCCACCTAGTCCTGACAGACGCGACCGCCTGGCTGGGGGTGAGCGGACACTCACGGGGCACAGTCGACAGTGAGATTCCACTGTGAGCCCTGAGCCCATGCTGCATGGACGATCCCCCCTCGCTCCATGATTGATGGTCATAGGATGGGGCGGGAGGTGGGGGGCAGCTTGGGGACTGACCTGCCCAGGGCTGACGAGCGAGTGAGCGTGGTGATCTGGGGAGGGAGCCTCTAAGCCCCATTGCCTGGACCTTGGGTCTGTTTGAGCTCACTTTGGGGACTAAAGCCTCCCCGCCCCCCAAGGTATGCCTTCGACCTTGACCTCCAGCTCTTTGGGACTGGCCCTGACCTGCGGCTGTCCCACCGGCCTCAGAGCCACCCCTGCCCACCGCCGCCGCCCACACCCTGGGTTGGTGCTCCACTCACTCATGGGGTCCCGTGCGAAGACGGCTTCCGACGGGGGCCCAGGCTGTCCGGGGCCAGAGGGACCCAAGACCGTGACCCGGAACTCATACTGACAGTCATGCCGCAAGTCCGCCACCGTCCACTTCCGCTCTGCAGAAAGGCCGCCTGCGTCAGCCCCGCCCGGGCAGGGCCAGGTGATGGGGACACCTGTCCGGGTGCCTGCGAGTGTGCAGCAGACCGAGCCAGCCGGCCAGCGGGTGTGGCTTGGCTCTGTGCAAGGTGGGGACGGCACCGCTCAGGGTGTCAGGGCCCTGAACCCCTGTCTGGCTCTGCCGCCAACTTGCTGGGCAGCTGTGGCACGTGCCTTGGCCCCCCACCTTCGGACGAGGCACTAAGACCTGGAGGGAGAGCGAGCTGAGGGTCTGGCCAGACGTGGGGGCAGGGCCGACGGACCCCCTCCGGCTTCGCCCCGAGATGCCCACTGAACCCGCCCGGGGAGATGGGGGCGGGCGGGGGCTGTCTTGGGCGTCATGGGGTGCTCAGCAGCGTCTTCGGCCTCTTCACACCAGATGCCACTCCCCACCTTCCCCCACTTCAGCCGTGATGACCAGAACCATCAGGCATCGCCCAGCGTCCTCTGCAGCAAAGCCACCGG